GTGAATCAATATCCTATAAAGACAGAAGAACAAAAAAGGTCTGGATCCATTGATACACACATTCTTGAATTTCAGCRTACTCAGACAGTGTCAATCTGATTTTAGATGCCTTCCTACAGGTAAAGAAGACTTTTTTTTCTAGAGTTCAGATTAATACAAGTTTAAGAGCAATCATTCAAATATGTGCGGATATACAACCAAATATACCAAATATCCTTATAAACATGTTAACCATGTTACCATATAACCAAATATTCTTATGCCATGTTAACCTCAGTGCTGAAAACAAATTCCTGTTTTACTGTTTTGGCCTTAAAGGATGTTTTCTCATGTATCCCAATAGATGGGAAAAGCCAAACAATCTTTTGCTATGATGGGAGAATCCTATGACTGAAGAAAAGATTCAGCTCCCTCAAGGATTCAAAACTAAATCCACTTTATTTGGTGGTTTCAGCAAAAGGAGTAGAACAATGGAAAAAAGGTAACAGTGTTCCCCTTTTACAATCTATAGATGATATCCTAATTGGAGCTGACAAGGAGCAAGCAAACCTGTTTGTAAGTGACCCTAAGCCTGCAGAACTTTTTGGGACTTGCTGGAGTTTCAAGAAACAAAAAACAAACCTCATATTGCAAAAAGGTAAGACCGATACCTTAGCTTTAAGGTATGAAAAGGACAACGAGCTCTGGGAGAAGAAAGAAAAGTAGCACTGTTCCCAATTGCAGTTCCTAAGACTAAAAGGTAAATAACTTTTGTCAGGATTTTGCCCCATATGGTGTCCTGGTTTGAAAGACAAGTGTCTCCTGAGGAGGGCAGCAGCCTCCTTTGGAATGGAAAATATGAACCCCTTCCCTCCAAATTATTATAATTTTGAAATTAAGGGGTTTTCAGGCAAAAATATGGGAAAAGTAATAACAGTTTTTTACTAGTATTAATAACAAGGCAAACAAACAACACTGACGGCTGCAACAAGCAAGAAAACCACAAACCCAGTACCAGCCTTCTCTAGGCTGTCCCCTTCGGTGAAGTTACGGTCACAGCCGGCAGGGGCGCTGGTGGCTCTCGGCCAGGCAGGGCAGGTGCGGTGATTCCTCCCCGCCGGCAGGGGGGGCTGTTGCAATGATTCCTCCCCGCCGGCAGAGGGCATTCTGGTGCTGAGACAGTGATTCCTCCCTGCCGGCAGGGGGCTCTGTGGCACAGAGGCCATGATTCATTCCTCCCCTCCGGCAGTTGGCGCTGTGACACTGGGGTGATGATTCCTGCCTTCCAGCAGGGGGCGCTGTGG